AATGGTATTTATAATAAATGATTACAATATTTATATTTGTTCCAGATTTGAACTTATTACTTTTTATGTTTTAATACATTATTTTGAAATCCCCAAAAATTTGTATCATCCATAAAAATGCAAATTTTATCTATTTTTAATTTTTTTAATAATCACGTACTCTCCTTTTCTAATGCTTATAGAAAATACAATACTAAATACAACCTCTACATAAAATGGCAGTTACTATAATAAGCACCACCCACATTCATATTGTAAAATCCAGAGAACAACGTTTCGTCATGTGCTTTCCATATCATCCTATGATTTGTCAAACGTGAAATACAGCGATTGGAATAACATGGTACTGAAATTGAAACCTTTGATTAGGATTGGCTAAAAGTTTTACAACTGAGGTTTAACATGCCCAGACGCAGTTTTATAAAGAAAACAGACTAGAAAAGGTTTAGATACCAATCATAGATGGCAGGATCAGTGCTGAAGTTGAAGGAAAATTTTTTTGTAAATTTTGAAAAAAAGGTTCTTCTTAGAGGGTGCTTATTTACAGTCTAAAACATATTTTAGGATTTTTTTTTATTAAATTCCTCTTTAAACTTCATTAAATAATGTAATTTTGTACAAATAATTGAATGTTATGCTACTATTTATAAAAATAAAATCAGAAATCTATTAAAAGATAAGTTCTCTATCATTTTTTCAATTCACAAATGTGATATTGCCCTCATGATAAATTTGTTGGTAAAATCCTCTAAAACAAAATTATATGTGAAAGGAATTTATTCATTCTTCTAAATGTTAATGTTCAGGGGTTTGGTTCCCTGTGGTGGATAGAGTGCATATAGCCTATTTTGTAACTTTGCATTAAAACGAATAAATAAAAAAAAGGTTCTGTAGGTCAGAATGTTGGAAAAAATATAATTTTTAAAGCCCATTTCTTTAACAAATTCTGAACATGAATTATATAGCAGGTTTTTATCTTGTAGACTCTTCCAGATCAGCATCATTGTTACTATCTGAGTAGTAGTACAGATCTCCAGGGAGTTCTAGTATCTGGAGTCCCCTTTACCCATCCTACTCATGTTCCCCAAATTCTGGTTTTTTTACGACAGCAAGTCTTGTTCAACACTGTGATAGGTAGCTGTATCAGGCCTGCTAGTAAAACAGGTATGGATTACAACAGTATGAAAACACAAATATTAAAAATCATCAGAGTTTTGTTTTTATACAAGTTTTATATTTCTAAGAATGTCACAAATGATGCTTCTACTTATTGGCCTTCACAAAGAAATATACTGTGCTTACTGTAACAGTGACTAGAAATTTTACTTCAAGTCATATTTGAGTAACTTGTTTTTTTCTTAAATTTATTCTATTGTATATTTTTCCTTATATGCTTAGTTAACTCTGAACTTGTGTTGTTGTACCTATTTAGTCTGAACACATTAGCATATTTAACAGTATAGAGTTTATGCTGACACAATTATAAACACTATACTATTAAATATTCAAATTTTTGAATATACATTTTTTTATAGATGTGGATTCTCCCCTGATGTTTGAAGTCTCTGTTCTCACAACCACACATCTCAGCATTTCCTTTGAACATCCACTTGAAGAATCTTTGGCTACTGGTAAGTTGATTCAGGAAGTATTGCATGGCCTGGTGGTCAATTCCTCTGTTCTTTAGTATAAGTGCTGTCCAGCAGATAGTGTTAGGTGCTTTCTCTCTAGTCTGTCACTACTAAATTAGGAACGACTCTCTGGAGTGAATATGGACACCACCAGACAAGTCTGCACAAGAATAACCAATAATGCATTAGCATCTTAAGGTGCCCCAACAGTTGTAAGCAGCCTCAGGACTAAAAAAAAAGTTGATTCAAATGGTTGTAATTATTCAATTGCCATTCTCCAATGTAAGTATATAAAAACAGATTATAAAATTGCTGAGTTTTGTAAACTACAGTGGTATGACAAAAAGTCAGACAATTTATGAATTTTTTATTACCAAACTGAATCAAGTGATAATTCTTGTCCTGATTTGTTCATAGCGATCAAATTCATTGATAGATCACAATATTTTATAACTTTTTGTAAAATGTGTTTAGGTTACAGTTTTTGATTTTAGTTGTACACTAAAGTTCAGAGAGATCTCAAAGGATCAGATTCAGTATATTATTTAATTTTATAATTATATATTAATTAAATAAATTTTTTTTTCTTTTTGGTTCTTCTAGTTGATCTTGATCTACGAGATATTACTAATGTGAAATGCAAAATTTTCACCTTGACCAATGACACTCCACTCTGCACTGATGAATATACAAGCAAAGTGATGCAACGGTAATTGTGTATGCATTTTACATTATATACATAAGTAGTTGAAAGTAATTGAGTCTTAAATAGGTTGTAGAGACATGCCCATTTTACAGATCTTTAAGTCCAATTTGGTGTTAGAGATTTTACACCTAAATATACAATAATTTTTAATGATTGAACAAATGAAAAATTTTTCTTAAAAAAAGTTAATTCAGTCAATTTCCCTTTTTAAATGCAAAAATGATGCTGATATTTGAGATTCTGCAGTTCAACAGATTTTTTTTTTCATGTAATTTGTTTTGAACCCAACATGACATTTCCTATACAACAGTGTTTTGCATAATGGTTTAATAAAGTGATGGTCTATTAAGTAATTGATATTACTTGAAATTTTACATTACTTGGGATGATAGTAGAGAATAATATGGCTAGTTACTTTTAATGAAATTTGTAAAAAAAGGTGAAATATATGAATAGAAGAATTTATATATAATAGCATTGATATTCATTGGATGCAGTACTAAAGTTAAAATAAGTCAGTAGATGTTATCACCATCAAATTATATTATGTTTTTCCAGGTGTTTGTCTATCCCAGTAACTATGCGGGCAGTTTTGCGGAAAGCACATGTCCAGCGACAGCAAGCAAGAGCCTCAGCTCAAGGAGATTTCTTTTATGGTCCTGTACCTGGTGAGCCAGGACTGCCTTACTTCTCTCAGCTACCAGGTTATGGTGCTGGAAATAGTCTGGGAAGCAACAGTAGTTTTGGAGCAGGGGACTTTAGTAATTTAACAAATAAGATGAGTGGTAATGTAGTTGATAGGATGATTGAAAATGCAAATAATCAATCTGACACTGGTAAACCTAAAGATGCAATTCAAAATACAAGTGCAAAACAGTATCCTTTGTCAAGTTCAGTCTCTCCTAGTGGGGAAACATCTATGGGGTTTAGTCCTGCATCTCACATGCAAATGGGAGGATCACAGGCTATGAACACAGCATCTGATCAGGATTTTTTTCCTTTTGGTCATGAACAAGGAATGACAAGCGATTCAAATCCTATGAGTAGAAATTTAATTGCTCCTGGCCTACCATCTACAACTCAAGCCTACCAACAGCAGGGTAGATCAAATGCAATGTTAATGAATATGCTAAGTGATGTGCCAGCAGCCAACTCTCTTGCTACCTCTTTTCCTTTTTTATCCCAGACTACCACAACTGTAAAACCTCGTAAACAACGAAAACGGAAGACAACATCAGAGCTTCGTAGCCCAGGAAGATCAGGAGGGAAAAGAGCAAGTGAAGACGATAGCCGAGATTTACCAACTCCTGATAGTGAAAGCACAGAAACATCAATGTCTTTTGAGCATAACTTTCACTTATCAACATCTTTCACAGAACAGCAGTATGTAAGACCACCAAGTACACAAGGTAATTTTGTGAAAGGTGAAACTTCTCCAGCATATCCTGTGTTGGCTGATGAAGGTATAAATTTTCCTTCTGATCCAACTCATGCATTACTAGGTATCTCATTTACAACAGCTGGAAGAGGTTCAGGCATTGAGGGTGGTAGCTATAAATCACAGGCTGAATCACTGGGAACAAATTACCAAGCCAAAATACAGCATTCTGAAACATCTAGTCCCTTAGATTTGGATACTATAGCAACAAGTTCAGAGGACAATACAGGAGGAACTGTTGGAGAAGGAGTAGATGTTGACATGGATTTGACAGAGGCTGGCACATTTGGTATGGATCTTAACCCAGCTATAATGGCATCTAAACTGGCTGCATCAATGGATAGGCAGAATCGTAAAGTGAAACGGTTAAAAAGTAGTGACAGTGAGACAAAGTCAGAGACAAGAAACTCACCTTTAGAAGAGTTTAAGTGTGAAAAGGATTTGTATAATGTTTCAGAAGAGGAAAAGACAAATGAAAAGCTTATAGGTGGAAGTTTAGAGCAAGATAAATATTTTGTGCCTGATACAGAAATACCTTGTAAAACACCTCCTGCTACACGTAGTTCTCCATCCCCTGTAGTAGGTACCTCTTTTAAAATTGCAAAATCTGGTGATAGTCTTAAGATATCCAAAACAGAAAGCAAAAGTAAACAAAAAGAAAGCCGTAGATCCTCCAGCGTTGGTGAGAGCCCAACAGTTTCTTCAGGGAAACGTAAAGGAGATGCTAAAAAGGAACGAAAAAAGAAACGTGCCGAGAGTGCTGACAGTATTGATCGGAAATCTCCTATCAAATTGACTTTGGAAACTTCTCTTATGCCTCCTCCAGCTTCACTTTCTTCAGAAACCTCATCTGTGTCTGTTGTTTCTTCTGCAAATGCTGAAACTCAACCTCTTCGTCCCATAACCTTGAACATGAAACCTCTTTCTTTAGTTTCTTCTAGTTCGTCTGGAACTTCAAAGTCCACAGTAGTTTCCAGCAAGAAGTCGTCTACTAGTTCTGGGTCAGGAAGTGGCAGTAACAGTCCTACTCCCAAGTCAATTTCTTCAAATAAAGTTTCCATGCTAGGTGAGAAGGGAAGCAGTAAATCTTCTCCAGCATCTCAGTCTCAGACTTCGGGAAACTTGCGAAGTAATATTGATTCTGAAGGTAGTACAAAAATGATCATCTCTACACCTTCTTTGAAAATACAAACAAAACACAAACAAGGATCTAGTTCCAAAAGTAACAGTTCCAGCAGTTGGGGATCAGGATCTGTAGGTGTGTCTGCTTTGTCTTCTCAAGTAGGAGGTGGACCTAGCAGTGGAGGAAGATCTTCTCCTAGCAAAGGAAACACTCCTCGGACAGCCATTCTCAAATTGAAAAATCTAAATTTGCCTGCTTCTACAACCATAACACCTGTTGCTTCCAAGCCTTCAGCAGGTTCAACTGTTGGCCAGTCAAGCATCGCAAATTCCTCAGTCATCTCCTGCAGTGTTTCCATTATTCCAGCTTCAACTCCCTCTATAAGTACAACAGTAGCTAAATCTCAACAGTCATCTTCCACTACTTTATCAGGCAGTTACAAATCCACAAGCAGTGGAATTCGCTCTCGAAAGGGATCTTTGAGTGATGTAATTGACAAATTAAGAGTAAATGCAAGTCATGCCCAGCAAGCAGCTACGACTGTAGGTAAAGCAGAGAGCAGCAGCAGTAAACCTGACACTACTAGTGAGAGAAAAGAATCTAAGCCCGAGAAAAAGGATAGTGGATCTGTTAAGGAGTCAGGAAAGGATCGGGAGGGCTCTACTTCAAGAAGTGGGGAATCCAAACCTAAATATTCCAGCTCTGATCAGTTCACTGTTAAGCCAAGTGCTCAAGGAATTAAATTAACTGTCACAAAAACACGCTCAAGTGATGGAAGCTACAAAACATCAAGTAAGAACAAAGTACAATCAGGTTCAAAAAATATGGCTGTAAGTTCAAGCTCCATCTCAAATTCAAATAAGCCAGTAAGTTCATCTGGAAACACTGTGCAGAAAAATGTTAGTCCTTCTAGTAAGAAAAATACACCTTCCAGCAGTCCAAACACATCTCATAAATCTGCTACAGGAGGTGTAACAAAATCATCTAGTTCATCTGTCCAGAAAGGTCTATTCACATCTGCCAGCTCATCAACAACATCATCATCTTCTAAAGTTAGTTCTACTAGCAATTCATCTGTGAAACTATCAACTAAAGTTTCTATCTCATCTAAAGACAAAAACTCTTCCTCATCCAAGATGGTTGAAAAAGTTGATAAACCAAAAACTTCTGTACCCACATCTGAGAGCAAGGGTTCATTTTCAGAAAGTAAACAAGAAGTAAAAAGTTCAACAACAACTTCAGGAAGTACTAATCTCATGCCTCCTCCTCAAAGCAGTAAGCCTCTTTCAGAGCTGAGAATAACTGGAGGTAATACTCCTAAAAGATCCGAGGAATCTCCTTTGAGGCATTCTCCAAGACACACTCCAACTAGAGACAGTGCCGATGAAAGTGAGAGTGAGAAAGTATTTTGGTTATTGTTAGCTCAAACAAAGATGGATTCACAGAATTCATCTATTGCAAGAGCATCAGATGCACCAGAAAATTCAAAAGGAGTGAGCCCTGTAAGATCTGTATCTGATGAAAAAAGTTATGTTACAAGTAGCACAGATGTAAAACCATCTATGTCACCTGTAACACCTTCAGATCTTGTGGCAATCACTGATAAAGATATATTAGAAAACCAAAAGAAAAATGAAGTTTCATCATCCATTCGGGCAGAAGATGCTGTCACAACTACTTCTTCTAATGTTGAAGAGTCATCAAAGATTCCATCTGCAATACCTGCAAGAAGTGGAAAGGTTAAGAGGAAGAACTCAGATAGTGAGAGCAGTCCTGAAGATGGACTAGTTATTGATTGTCCTGGAATTCCAAGACTTCAGAAGTCTCCTGAGAAAAAGGCCAGAATTTCTAGTCCAAAATCTGAGTCCATGCCACCAAACACCACAATAACTCATGAATCAACAGAAAAAACAGAACCATCACCAAGTAGGACTATTGCCAAATCTCCATTCCAATCTACTCCAATTGAATCTCCTGGCATTGTTCGTACTCCTCCATCTAATCAGTCAGTCACAAGTTCAATGTCTCGTCCCTCTCCATGTGATATAGATGATGAACTTATGGATGAGGCGTTAATAGGTTTAGGTAAATGACTACGTGAATGTGGTGTGTGGAATGGATGCAGTATTGCAGCTGAGAAGTATAAACATATTGTAGAACTTGTCAATTTATATGGTGAACAGAAAATTAACAAGTCTATTCATCTGTAAATTGCAACTGATCCACACATCCACCATTAGAAACAAGAGGGAATAACATTTAGAGTAAGTTGTTGTAATAACTTTCATCAAACTAAAAAAAAGACAAGATTTTACATATACACAGATGTAGGGAACCTATATAAACAAAGTATTGAGTGCTTTATTTAAAGGCAACTGGAAGGTGCAAGACAATATATTTTGAGGATTATTCAAAATAAAAGTACTAGTTGTGAGAGGGTTATGATATTGCACTATGACATTATATATGTAAATAAATTTAATGGAACTGGTATTTTAGCTCTGTGGCTATTGTTTTATCAAATCTTAAATCTGGTAAATGATTAAATGTAAATAGATAAAAACTTATTCAAGTTTAAAAACTTGCATGATATTTTCACTTCATGTAAAATTACACAAATTTTAGTTTTCTCAGTAGACATGGTACTTGAGAAACTAATGACAGTAAATAACTTAAGCATGTATTGAACAGTATTAGGGATGGTTTAATATGTAGCTTTTCAGAAGTATGTTTTCTTGTAAGACCTTCCAGTGGCAAGTTGAAGGGCTCATAATGTAAAAACCATGTTTTAATATCCACATTAGGCAGATCACAGATAGCCCATTTTGTTGCTTTATGCTCAACAACAAATAAACATCATGTAAGCTCTGATTTGTTAAAAAAATAATTTAGTAATGGTCCCTCAGTGGTAAGCTTACATACTTAAATTGCTAAGATCCAGGGTTGGATTTTCTTTGATGAACAGGGTGCAGATAGCCCATTGTGTAGCTTTGTGCTGAAAAAACAGAATATTTAGTAATGTAATGAATAGAAACATTTAATTTGTAACATTTCCATTATTGTACATACATTGCATTTAAAAAGTAAGAAACAAACAAAAAAACAAACAAACTAAATGTGTGAAGTACATAGGTTTAAAAGCCTAAAAAAAAACAAAAATATTAAACACCATTTTACACTACTGGTTTTTCTCCCTTTTAGTTTACTCTACAAGTTATTTGTCATTTGATAAATATGACCTGTGCGTGTTATGTTTAAAAAAAATGTAATGTTTAAATGAATTTCCTATTCTTGGTTGCAAATTTAAATTAAGACTCCTGAATATTAATAGTTGGGCACATTATTTTGGTGGCATGAAAATTTATTAATACACAAGTTCCTAGCAGCTTGCATTGTCAAGAATGTCTTGCCATTAAAATAATATGCATCACTATTCTTTTATTTAACTTGGCAGTATTTTTTTACATTTTAATCTTTTTAGAATTGTAAATTACTTAAAAAAAAAAAGTTTTATCATTGTTATAAGTTCTTATCTTTCTTAGCTTGTTAGTTTAGGAGATACATGGGGCTATTGTTCTTGACAAGAAGAATCCTGAATAATGATTGCTGTATGATGCCCAGAAGAGAATTTCATAATCAAAAGTAGTTTTAAGTCCACAGCTACTGTACGTATGAATACTGATATGAAACATTGCTTTACTTGACAAATCATTACCAAAAGTTCCATATGCTTTTGATAAAAGCTAGCAGTTACAAATATGTCACATATGTTTTTCCAATATCAATCAATAGATATCTGCTACTCTTTAAAACTTTTATAATTATTCTGGAGTGCCATAACAAAAATTCTGTATTAAAAAAACTACTTTTAAGGTTTACGTTAGCATCAGGAACATAGTTTTAATATTTTCTGACAGTTCAGTTTATTGTATGTCATTTATGTACCATAGTTTTTATTTTACTTACATTTAGAAATGATAAATTTTGTATTTGTGTATTATATTTCATAGAAAGTTTTAATGTAATATAAATGTAGTTTCTCTATTAAAGGTAACATTAGAATGAAGGCAAAGTATGAACCAAAAAATTAAAAATTCATACTTTAATTTCTGCTAAATTAATATTGTTCCATGTTTCCTTTTCTTTATATTGTTATTCAAAAGTGTAAAGGCCTCTTAAAAATTGTAAGTATAAACTTTTAGCATGTTCTAAAAGTCAGTGAAACTGTTTTTTACTCTAATACGTACAGAATCTTTCATAGGTTACACAGCCATGTTAGTAGAAACTTTGTAAGCAGCATTAAGGAGTTAAGGTAGACACATTTTGAGTGATTTTTTGTAAATTTATATGATTGCATTTGCTGGGCTTGTTAATTTTGCAAGTATCAGGACTAAAAACAACAAACCTAAGAATTACAGAATTAACATTTCATTATCATTACATTTTTCCCAACTTAGGTCATAAATAGTTTTTGAATTTTACTGCTTGTACTCTGTAGTACATCACAGTATTGTAGGTTGAAAATAGTATTTTGTTTGTTACATATTCAGATGCACTAAAGTTAATTCTGAACTCTACTAAACATTAGTTGGTGTCACTGATACTTGTTCTACAAACTATGCCGTTTAACAAGTCATTTTATTTGTTAGTGATCTGAAGATTAGTGTAAATATTACTACAACTTTGTAATTATTTTCATTGTGTTACCTTTTTTTTTTAGTATTGAAAAATCCTTTGGTATGAAATGTGCTACTAGAACAGCATAGTTTCATATGTAATGTTACTATGCAATAAAATTATATTTTGAAAAAAAAAGAGTACTCTGTTGTATGAGGAGTTCCAAGCTTATGGTTGGATGTTTACATTCTTATATGAATATTCTTGTCAAGTAATGTTGAAACGTTTTGTTTTAAAGCATTTTGATTGTATAAAAACCAACTTCATCAATACACTCAATTTGAGTTTGTGGTAGTTAGTGACCAGAAAGGCTAAAAAATGCAGAACTGGTAATAAAATATATTTTATTTGTAATTCATTGTAAAGTTTCTGAAGATGGATTGACACATATCATTAACTGTGGAAAATGTCATTGGTAAATTTTGTACATAACTTGCAAATTTTAATGCAAATGAGAAAGAGTGTTTGTGCAATGAAAAAAACTACTACTACTAGTTAGTGGTTAATGCAAAAATATTTTGATAACACCTATCTATAATATTGTGTTCTTAATGTGGATTGGACTGCAAGCAAGTTTCTTAATGTTACCAGAGGTCACCATTTCTTGTAGCCAAGGTTATTTATGTAATTTTGTCCTTTAGAGTTTGGTATAAGTTATTTCATTAGTTTTAGTGTGAGAAACTGTCTTTAACCATAAAATATATGTAATTGTACAAAGAAAAGTTCAGTGAAATTGGTTTAAAACTTAGGACTTTGAAAACAACTTATTTATTCCATAGACATTTAAGCTGTTCAGAACATTTTAATTATCTTACTGCTGGTATTCTTTTTAACTTAATCATTTAAGAAATGAGTGTCTTGTCTTATGTGTAGAACAGAAGAAAATGAAAGTGGAAAATCTTTTGTAAATATTTCAGTTATCTAAAATTTCTAACTACAGTTCAATTTACTGTAATACTAAAACCATTCCGAATGTCAAATCAGTGTAATTCTAGTTAGCAATTTTTTTTAAGATTGGTTTTTTATTGCTAATGCAACTACATGTACTTTAAATGTTGTGTGTGATAACACTTTTCTGCAAGGCTGTCAATTTCTTATTGGTATATATGAATTACAGTATACATTAGCAGTACTGGTCTGTATTGTGTTTTATTATTTGTACATATCTTGTTCAGTTTTTACTTGTGATTTAATTTACATTTTGTTGTGAATATTTGTATGAGGAATGAGATTTTACATTTGCTTGTATACCATGTACTTTAATTATGGTATATTTGTAAATGATGTGATTGATTAAATACAGGATTATTTCCTCCACTGAAGTCTAATGTTACATTGTTTACCAGTATTGAGCTCTTTACAGAATTCCTCCAGAGGACACTCAGTTAAAAATTGCATGTAACAAAAGTTTAATCACATCTTATTTGCAATTAAAATATTAAAGTGAATAACATACAAAATCCAGATAATTTATTTTCCATAAATAAATGGTGTCATTTGATGAAGTAGTCATAAGAACTTCAAAACATTAATTCATGTTTTAAAAGATATTCAAATTTAAGTTTCTAGTGTTTGAATGAAAAAATAAACATACACCCCCAAATTTAAAATTTAGAGTTAAAATGCTTACTCAGTTTTTAAAAAGAAATAAACAGTGCAGAAATACATTTAAAAAAAAAAAAGTTCTAATACATTACATTGTAGTTTTATTGAAGATTGTATACACAAACAACTTCATAAATGTTAAAATATGCATGGTTAAACTATGTCCATGGAAGATTTACAAGAGATTAATATGGCTGGACAAGTACCAGAAATCAAATTACTTCATTGATATTGGATATGCTTGTATGTGTGTGTATATACACAAACACACAGATTCTTCTGTGTTTCAACATTTTTGCAAAATTAAGAATCTCCACAATTTTTTATTCTAGAACGATATACCTATAGTGCTTTTTGTAGCATCTTTAATATTTAATACAAACTAAATACTGAACTACTTAGATTTCTTTTTCATTCTATTAAGAGTTTTAAAGCCACGAAAACAAGTTGTATTATTTCATGGTAAAAGTATGTTTTATGAGATCTAAAAAATTTCTTATGTGATGTTTTTAAGTATACTTATTGCTTCACAGATTTTACAGTTATTCAAAATATATTTGTTGTAATTCATGGGCTTCTGCAACATTCATTACTTTGATTTTTCTGGTTTCTTACGGAGAGAAACTTCTTGTTCAAATGAAAGCATAGTTGATCTTGTTTGTTATTGATAAGCTGCTACATACAGCTGCACAAGTAAAGCATTTGATACTAGAGAAAACACAAGACTGATCATGTGACGTCATATAATCTAAATCAGTAGCTCCCAACCTTTTCTCTCCTAAAATTTCGGGAACTACTTCGTACAATTACATTGTAAAACATCTTATTTTAACGATCTTGTGGATTGCCACTGATCTACACATATCCCTTGGATACATCTGTTCTGGATGTAGGGATATTAGGTTATACTGTAAGTTCTACAGCACAATGCAGTTAAAGGATTAGTGATATTTTATATAAATTCTATATCACCAAGAGAATACACTAATTTGGCTGATAAACTGAAATCATATTTTAGAAAGTGAAACACAATTTAGTGGTAACACTGGTTTATTTACATATATTATTAATACAGATAGAACTTACATTTTTTACTTATTTTACATTGATCCATAACTACAGTCCGGTTTTCTCACCAATTCAAATGTGGATTTTCTTTGTACTTGATGTAATCTATTTTCTTGAAAAAGGAAATTTCAGTTTCACTTCTTATATTGCTTTCAGCTAAGGTTCTGTGGTCTTGAAGAATCAGCTCTTCATCCATTTCTGTATTGATGATGGGGTCATTGGTTTTAGCCCCATGGGCTTGATGTTGTATCTTAAGTGTGTCATAATCATAGTTTTTTACTGGTGGTGGCAAGCCAGTTCTTTTCTTGATATCTGTTAGGATTGTGTTCTTAAAAAAACTGACAGTCTGATTGGGATCAACATCCTTAAACACGACTGGGCGTACATTATGATGCTCAAAGGAACGGATGAGCCGCACTGTCACAATGATTCTGTTAGGCTCTTCTTCTGCCATGCTACTACAATGTTTATATAAATGAATGTATATCCACAAATTAGGAACAAAAATTGATGTATGCAAGTAACTTTCATATTCTTTGCAATAGTAAAATAGTCATAATAAGTACAACTGGCCAAAAAAGGAAAACAGCTATTTGGGAAATGTACTTTAAGCATTTTCTTTCAAATTTTCACTTGTGCAAAAAGGTACTCTACCAGGTTATTATCTGTGCTTTACATGAGCTTACTGAATATACATTTTGTGTGTGTGTGTGTGTGTGTGTGTGTGTGTGTGTGTGTGTGTATATATATATATATAATTAATTAATTTATTTATTAGAGTATCGTATAACAAATAATATATAGTAAAACCGAACGAC